ATTATATCATTAGATGCAGAAAAAGCTTTTGATAAAATCCGCACCCCTTCTTGATAAAAACCTTTGAACATCTAGGCATACGGGGAACATACCTCAAAATAGTAAAACCATCTATGAGAAACCCACAGCCAGCATACTCCTAAATGGACAAAAATTGGAACCAATTCCCCTGAAAACTGGAACAAGACAAGGATGCCCACTCTCACCCCTCCTGTTCAACATAGTATTGGAAGTCCTGGCTCAGAGAAGAGGAGGCAATCAGGGGTATCGAAATAGGAAAAGAGAAAGTCAAGTTATCTCTCAGATGATATGATTGTGTACCTTGAAAACCCAAGAGAATCTGTCAAAAACCTCCTTACACTGATAAAGGCCTTTGGCAAAGTCTCAGGATACAAAATAAACATACAAAAGACAATCGCATTTCTCTACACCAATAATAAACAAACAGAAACCCAAATAAAAAACACAATTCCATTCACAATAGCCACACAAAAAAATGAAATACCTTGGATTCTTCCTAACCAGAGACGTGAAAGACCTTTACAAGGAAAACTACAAAACACTGCTCAAAGAAATCAAAGTTGACATAAACAAGTGGAAAAATATCCCATGCTTATGGATCGGAAGAATCAACATTGTGAAGATGTCCATCTTACCTAAGGCAATCTACAAATTCAATGCAATACTCATCAAATTACCAGCAACATTCTTCTCAGACCTAGAAAAAACAACACAGGAATTCATATGGAAACACAAACGTCCAAGAATAGCCAGAACAATCCTCAGCAAAAAAAAAAAAAAAGCAGGTGGTATCACATTACCAGACTTCAAACTTTACTATAAAGCCACAATCATCAAAACAGCTTGGTATTGGTATAGGAACAGGCATATAGATCAATGGAATAGAATTGAGATTCCAGAAGCAAAACCTCAATTTCTCAACCAACTCATCTTCGACAAACACTCCACCACCTACCACTGGGGAGAGGAGAACCTATTCAGTAAATGGTGCTGGGAAAACTGGTTAACCACATGCAGATGATTGAAACAGGACCCCTATCTATCCCCATGCACAAAGGTTAACTCCAAATGGATCAGAGACCTAAATGTAAAACCTCAAACCATAAGAACCTTAGAAAAGGAAGGAAATACCCTCATGGAAATCTGAACTGGCATCCAATTCCTGAACAAAACTCGAAATCCACAGCTCATAAGAGAGAAAATAGACAGATGGGACCTTATTAAACTGACAAGCTTCTGCAAAGCCAAAGAAACCATCAAGAGAGCCGGGAGATAGCCTACAGACTGGGAAAAAATATTTGCCAACACCAGTTCTGACAAAGGCTTAACATCCTGGATCTACAAGGAACTCAAACGTGCTGAAGAGAAAAAAACAAACAACCCCATTATAAAACGGGCAAAAGATATGAACAGACACTTCACAAAGGAAGACATCCGAGCAGCCAACAAAAACATGAAGAAATTTTCAACCTCACTAATCATCCGGGAGATGCAAATCAAAACCACACTGAGATACCACCTAACCCCAGTCAGAATGGCAATTATCAACAAGTCAAAAAATAACAGCTGTTGGAGAGGGTGTGGCGAAAAGGGAACACTTCTACACTGTTGGTGGGAGTGTAAACTAGTGCAACCTCTTTGGAAAGCAGTGTGGCGATTCCTAAAAGCTCTAAATATCAACCTCCCATATGACCCCGCAATCCCCCTACTGGGAATATACCCTGAAGAACTCAAATCACTCTATAAAAAAGATACCTGCACATGTATGTTTATCGCAGCATTGTTCACAATAGCAAGAACCTGGAAACAACCATGCTGCCCATTAAAAAGAGAACTGGATTAAAAAATGTGGTACATATACACAATGGAATACTACGCAGCCATAAAAAAGAACCTG